GTGTTCCATATCATATAATATTGATGCAGGTACCGATAGATGATTTATTTTATAAACAACGTAAACTTATGATATATAAATACAGTACAGTACTGTAAATATGTATTTTTTCCTTATGAGTATCTTTTCTCTAGCTTACTTTATTGTAAGAATACAGTATAACACATAAAACATACAAAGTATGTGTTAATCAACTGTTTATGTTATCAGTAAGGCTGGTAAGGCTTCTGGTCAAAAGTAGGTTATTCGTTAAGTTTTGGGGAAGTCAAAAGTTTTATGTGGATTTTTGACTGCATGGTGGCTCAAAGTACAAAGCCCCCATATTGTTTAGGGGTCAATTGTAATCCACATTTAATGGGTGTGATTTGATATTGAGCTACATACAAACCTAGTGAGAACAGGGCATTTCTGATTCACCTTTGTTCCAAGCATGCAGTCCTTTGGGATCCCAACCTAATGTATATAAAGATTTACTAGAGCCTTTTCCACCACTCATTTTGGTTGCCCATGGCCACAACTTTTGTCCCCTTAGCCCAAAGTCCATGAAAAACAAGTTGCTCAAGACTTTTAGTGGAGTCTTTTGGGGAGATGTTCTACCAAATATCTTTTATTTAGGACTTCCACCTTATCTAAGATCTTAGTCTTAGTAAATCTTTATTGTCTCTTAGTTCTCTGAAGCCTTCAAGATTTGCTTAAATATTGTGACTAGCTTTTCTAATATCCATGAAAGGGTGGTCTGAATTGCCTAACCTGTCAATACCAGAAGCCCTAACACTTATCCCTGTGTACTTTTCCTTAATCTTACTTCCTTTTCTTTATTACCTTGAATGAGTTTTAGTGTTTCCAATTTGTATACTTTTATTATATGTGTTTAATAATAATTTTATTTTGGATCTTATAAAGCTTTATTAAATGGTGTCATGTTTTTCATAACAATTTTTAAGTTTGATCCAAGTTGATACATTTAGTATTACTTCATTAATTTTAACTCCTGTCTATGTGTATGTGTATGTATATATTAATTACTATTCAAATCCATTGACCAAATAAATTGTGGTTATGTTCTTACTGTCATATTTAGGCTTACTTCAGTTGTTTATTATTCACTATTAAAACCAATATATAAACATTCTTGTACATCATTCCTGTGCACACGTGGGTAATTTCTCTGGGGTTTATATCAAGAAGTTAAACTGTTGGGGAGAGGTATATGAACACCTTTAATATTACTGTCCAATTACTCCCCAGAGTGACTGTATTCATCCTAATACTTTCAAATGTTTCTCTCCACTCTAATGGGTGTGACTTGTATAGAATTGTGGTTTATCTTGCCATTTCCTTAATAATGAATTTTCATCTCTATTTGCCCATTTTTAAATTGACCTGTTTTCTTTTCCTCCTTAATTCTGATCTCAACATTTTGTTAGTTGGATGAATTCCAAATAGATGCTCCCAGGCACTGGCTTTATCTTTTTATTTTATTTATAATATCATGTGCTACATCAAAGATTTAATTTTTAATACTCAAATTTGATATTTTTCCCTTTATTATTTATCTTGAATCTCACTGAAGAAATTTTTTTTTCCACTGTTAAGTTCATGAAGATAGTCTTCTCAATTTTCTTCTAAAAGATTAACTTTTGACATTTAAATTTTCATTTCTCCTGTGACTGTTTGACTTCTGTATTTGGTGTTTATTAGAAATCTGCTGCCATATTTTTATTTCAGGCTCCCAGTATCTCAAAAGCACATTAGCAATGGCAGTTATCTTAAGATAGAGGGAAAGGTATAGTTCTATATTTATTGACCAGGGTGGTAGGTATGTTCACTTTGCTGACATACACTGAGCTGTACACTACTGATCTGTACACTTCTATATGCATGTTGTAGTGATGGGCTAGAGCTGGCTCATACTAGTTCATAAGAGCCAACTGTTAAATAGAAATTTTGTGAGTTAACTGTCAAACTGTTGGTAGTTTAAAATCAGGCATGAGTTAACTACTTACAACATTAATTTTGACAAAAGCTACAAACAAGACATATTTCTTTTCCCAAGCAGTGTGAATGTCTTTTTAAAAAGTTTAAAAACATATCCTTTGATGTTATGGGCAAATTTACCATAAAGAAGTAAAAGCTCCAGAATGTAAGGATAAATATAATTAAATGTTTATTGTAGCACTGCTTGTGGTTGCAAACAGAAACCCCAAAACCAAGTCACTAGAAACAACATTACGGAGGGAGATGGGGGGATAAAGAAACTGTTGGAAAAATTATGGTATATACATATTATGAAATATTATGCAGCTACAAAAAAAGTATGAGTAAAATCTATTTGTAATGACCTAGGGAGATGCTGAACACATAGTAAGTGAAAGAAAGTAAATGCAAAACAATGTATATAATTCAATTAAAACAACAAGAAACCTCACAAAATCCTCTTTATATATACATTTATGTGTGTGTGTGTTTATATGATTTTGTAAAGAAAGCTGTGGAAGGATAAATTCACGTTGACTGCTTGGAGGAAAGGGAGGCTTACCTGGCTGGGGCTCCAAGTGAAGAGTATTACCTTTTTCTGTGTATACCTCTATATTGTTTTTATTCCAATAGATTGTTATTTTGTAACTTAAGATAATCCAATAACACTTTAAAGTCTTATTTATGAAGATTGTAGGTCATAACAAAATTCACGTAAGTGGTTGGTTGGCTTATTTATGAATTCTTTCTATTTCAATCACACTTGTATTATTGCCAAGCCTTTTCAGCAGTCATTTTCATCAAAGATATTCCTCTGGTATTAAAAAATATTAACAATTTTTTCACTGCTATAGTATTAAATCCAAAATTAGTAAAGATAACTGAAGTATATGAGTCAGAATATCTGAGATCTAGTCCTTGTTCTATTTAGTAACTACAGGATGTTTCTAAATAGTGAAAAAGAGGGACATGAGATACAGAAATCAGTTTCTTTTCAGATAACTATGGTATGTTTTAAGGCAATATGGCAAGTGACTGAGTGAAATAATAGATTTGGATTTTAGCACTGCCACTTACTAGTTATGTAACCTTGAGAAACTTAGTTATCCTTTTTAAGTTTCAGTTTCTGATTCCATAAAGTGGGACTAATACTACTGACCTTTCAGAATTATAATAACCATTAAAATATCAATAATACAAATAAAGCATTTACCCATACTGCAATGTAGTAGGTGCTGAGTACATGGTTTCTGTTAGGACAACCATCCTCTTTCTACAACCAGCATTTCAAGACTTCCACAATTTTTCCCACCATCAATATAGTTTTGAACCACTTAAGGCAGTGGTTTTCAGCCTTTTCCTTCTCATTGTACACATACTAATTACTAAAATCCTAGCAGCATAAAGGTTGAAAAAAAATCACTGTTTTAGGGCTTACTATACACCAAAATCTGAGGTGGAAACTTTACATACACAATCTTATTTTAGTTTTTTCATTATAATACTCTCATGCTATATGAATCAATCTTATTTTATAGATTAAAAATGAGGCTTAAAGAGCTTGTGTAGCAATCCTAAGGTTAAAAAGTTAGCAGTGGCAAAGTAGAAATTTAAATTTTAAAGTTAAAATTTTAAACCGAGACCTCTAAAACCACTGTCTGTAACCATTACATCATGCTTTGCTGTCTCAGACTTAGTATGCCTGGGGTATGCTGTTCTTTCTCTATATTTGAATTCCCCATCCTTCTGGGCCCAACTCAAATTCTACCTGCTTAATAAGAGTTTGTCACTCTCCCACCAACACAGTGCTGTTTTTCCCTTCAAAGTGATTTTTCTGTCTAAAACTACAATTTTCAACCAGTGTTGTCACAAGAGTTTTTAAAACATGTACTACCTGACTATTTAGTCAGCACATTGACCTCTTTTCCCTTAGACTGTCAAGTAAAAAAATTGCAAGAGCCAACACAACAATAGCTGTCTAGTGTGAACAGTTCACAATTATACATGTTTTTTTCATCAGATCAGCAAAAAATATATTTTTTGGTGTGCCATAGAATTTAGTAATTAGTTTCTGTGCCATGAGATAAAAAAAGTTGAAAATCGCTGGTCTAAACCACACATTCAGGCATTCAAACACACTATAATATCTCAGAATACCTTATAAGTGATTTTTTTTTCTTGTTAATGCTGCTTTTTTCAATATAAATTTTGAGTTTCTTAAAGACATAAGATGTAACTTTTCTAAGCCCAAACACACTTACCTACCACCTTTGACACAGGTACTAAAAAATATTGGTAAAATGACAAAATTCTGTACTTTTCACAGCAATGCATAATCACAATGAGCTGTGATAATTTAAAAACTCAAATGTTAAAGGACAAACATTTCTGACGCAAGTACCTTGGTAACAGAGAAAACACAGATGTACAGGGCAGTTTTATGACTGTAGAAGTGAGGACAATGAATATTAATCAGAAGCTCTTTGGTTCCCGATTCTGCTTCCCCCTACATTTGACAGGCTGTGAAGATTAAATGGCTGTAAACAATGTAAAGAGAAGAAATCTAATGGTTTCTAAGAAACGAAATTACCATTTTTGAACCCTTTATAACCAGAACTATCCTATCATTTTCACTGAGGCTAGAATTAGAACCAACATGTTTTTCAATTTTGAATTAAATGTGAATGAAAGGATTTGTTTTATTTCTATTAAGATGATACCCCAGAAAAAATTGCTTGCCCATGACAAGAATTTCACATTACCAATTTAAACCATATTCAGTCTTCCTCATATTAGATGAAACCATATGTGCCTATTGCAGTCTAGTCTCTACAACCCCTCCAGAGGTAAGTATACATTTTATAAAATATTTCTTTTTATACAATAAGGATATTATATTAATAAATGCTAAAAATATATTCTCCCCTTTACGTTGCCCCAATAACACTTCTGGGAAGAATGTGTAGTGAGGGGAGAATATACCTCTTGAAGATTTCTGGTTTTACTCCTTCCTCTCTTCTTACCGTTACTAGACATCGACACATGTTTGCGTAAGCCACAGAAAAACTGGGTTCATCAATAGCCTTCTCAAAGACCAGGTCAATGACTCCTTTCAGCCGCTCCTCTGTATCAACAGTGAGCCCAGACACCTGCTTCATCAGTTGGTTGAACATCTGTGGTGTCAATTTATTTAAAATACTTCGAACTTTTCTAAAAAGTTCCTAGAAGGGACACACACACAGAAAAAAAGCATTATAGTTACTGTGACAATATGATGCTTTCTGTAAGAATTAATATTTTGTTTATAACATATAAATTCAACTTTCCAAATTATTGACAAGGGTTCTAAACTAGTTATAGAAATTATTAAATCCATCTATTTTAATAAATAATTTAACACTATAGCACATCATTTTCACTACAGATGAGAATTCTAGGAACCAGGTAGACTCACACTTCACTGGTGGAAGTGTCATCTGGGACATCATTAAGGGCAGCCCGGCAAGGCACACGACACGTTTTAAAACTGTAACATGTCCTTTGGAACACGCAGTTATACTTTTAGAAATCTATTTATACTTAAAAAATGCGTAAAAAAGATTTTAGCCACAATAATTTGTCAATAACCCTTTATAGTAAATAAAAATGTCCTAAAATAGGAATCTGTCTAAATTATGGTATAATGATTAATATAAATTATAATACATAATACTAGGCTGGAGTCTTTTAAAATGTTGTAGAAACTCTCTCATCAAATTAGAAATAGAAGAGAACTTCCTCAACGAGAAAAAGGGCATCTATAATCTTACTTTTTGGGGAAAAAAATGAATGCTTTCCCACTAACATTGGGAGCAAGGCAAAAATGTCCATTCTTATCATTTCTATTCAAAATCATACTGAAAATCCTAGTCAGTGCAACAAAGAAAAAGAACTACATCCCATACAGATTTTAAAGTAAGAAGTAAAACTCTCTCTTTACAGTTGATATGACTGCCTACATAGATATAATCATAAGGAATCTACAAAAAGAGATACTAATGAGTCCAGGAAGGTTGTAGAATAAAAGGCAATATACAAATATCAACTATATTCCCATATATTAGCAACAAACAACTAGACATTACATTTTTAAAAAGCACCATTTACAATAGCATCAAATACCATTAAATACTTAGTTAGGAATATAACAAAATATTCGTATGATAAAAATTAGAAATCACCAATGAAGAACCAAGGAGGACCTAAGTAATCAGAGATCTTTTTTAAATAAAGATTTTATTTATTTTTAGACAGAGGGGAAAGGAGGGAGAAAAAGAAGGAGAGAAACATCACTATGTGGTTTGCCTCTCATGTGCCCCCTACTGGGGACCTGGCCTGCAACCCAGGCATGTACCCTGCCTGGAGATCGAACCAACAGTCCTTCAGTTCGCAGGCTGGCACTCAATCCACTGAGCCACACCAGCCAGGGCAGTTATCAGGGATCTTTATCATGTTCATGTACTAGAAGATTCATTATGGTGGTTAGTTTTCACCAAAGTGACCTAGAGATTGAACCCAATCTAAATAAAAATCCTAGCAGAGTTGTGTTGTTGTTATTATTATTTTTAGAAATCAAGAAGCTGATTCTACAATTATTATAGAAAGACAAAATAACTAGAACAGTCTAAACAATTTTAATATAAAACTACTACACAAAGACTGCGGTACTGGCCAGAGGACAGACACAAAGGTCACTGATACAGAATGAAAAGTCTAGAAACAGATACATACGCATACAGAATTGATTTTCAACAAAGGTTCAAAGGAAATTCAATGGAGAATTAATAGTCCTTTCCACAAATAGTGCTGAACAACTGGATATCCATAAAGAAAAAAAGGACCTTGATTTATACCTTTCACATAACACAAAAATTAACTGAAACTATATTACAGACCAAAATGCAAAACCTAAAACTATAAACTTCTAGAAGATGACAAAGAAGAAAAGCTTTGCATTTTTAGGTCATGTGAAGATTTTTAAAGATATGACTGCAGGAACACAAACAATAGTGTGGTGAAGCCAGGAGAAGGGGGATTGGTGAAGGTAGGCTGTGGGGGAAAGGAAGACATGTGTAATGGTGTCAACAAAAAAAATTTTTGAAGTAAAAAAACCCCACACAATCTATGAATGAAAAAATTGATAAAGTGATCACCATCGAAGTTAAAAACTTCTGCTCTGCAAAAGGCACTACATTAAGAGGATGAAAAGACAAACCACAGACGGGGACAAAATTTTTGCAAAACACACATTTGATAAATAGGATTTCTAACCAGAACATAGAAAGAACTCTCAATACTGAACAATTAAAAAGAAAAAACTCCCCCACCCAATGAAACAGGGCAAGAGATATGAACAGAAATTTACCAAAGAAAATACACAAATGCCTAGTAAGCACTTAAAAAGTAAACTGATGAAGAAAATAAAACCAGAGACATGGATACATGGAACAAACTGACAGATCTCAGAGAGGAAGGGGTGAGGGGGGCCTGGAAGAGATTAGCCAAAGAACATATACACCTAGCCCATGGACACAGACAGCAATGTGGTGGCGGCTGCTGAGGTGGGGAGGTGGTTGGGGGGATGGGTGGAAAGGGTAAAGGGGGAGAAAATGGGGACATCTGTAATAGTGCCAACAATTAAAAAATATTTTAAAAAGCACATAAAAAGATGTTTCTTCAACATACTAGTCATTTGAGAAATTCATATTAAAACTACAATGACATACTATCACACATCCATTAGAATGGATAAAATTTATAAAGCAGAAAATAACAAATGCTGGTGATGTGGAATAATTGAAATTCTCATGCTTTGTCCAAGGAAATGCAAAATGGTACAATAACCATCCTGGAAAACAGTTTGGCATTTTCTAATAAAGTTAAACTTGTATTTACGATACAGCCCACCAATGCCATAGCAAGAATTTACCCAAGAAGTAACAAAAACTTATGTTCACATAAATCCTCTATGACCTACGTGAATGTTTATAGCAATTTTATTTATAACTGTCAAAATCTGGAAACTCTTTATGCTGTAAATAGATAATGGAATACTAGGTAATAAAGAATAAACTAACCATACATGTAATATTATGGATAAATCTCTTCAAATGTATATGCTAAGTAAAAGGAGCTATATTCAAAATGATTCCATTTACATGATATTTTGGAAAAAGCAACATTATAAGGACAACCAGATCAGTGATTAATAGAGGTGGACATGAGGGGAGATGATGAATACAAAGCAGTATGAGGAAATTTCGGGTGGCTGATGGAAATATTCTATATCTTGATTGTGTTGTAATTACATGACTATGGATGTCTCTCAACAATTAGAGAACTATACACAAAAAAAGTAAATTTTACTAAATGTAAAGTATTGCTCAGGAAAACTCATGAAATCATGATATAAAAACTGCAAAGGCCTATACGAATGTTTTGTTTGATCCCTTTAAAAATGTGTATTTGTACACAAGGATTTTTAGCTGCGTGCCAATATGCTAACACTTTCTTTAGGTAGAAAACAGTACATAAATCAATTTACAATTTAAAAAATCATACTGCCAGGTTTTTAAGATATGAGTCAGTATTACTTTTATAAAGAAAAGAAATTTAAGTTTAGTAGATATGGAGGAGTCTCTGCACCTAATTTTGCTTGTATCAACTGAGATAGTATTGTTTAGGTCTAAAACTTCAAACTGTGTTTTACATGAAGAATAAAAATCAATAATATTCAAATATCTTCAAATATTTCAGAAGTTTTTATTTTTTGTTCAAATACTTTTGCCTCCACCTTCCCGCACCACTTTCCCCTTCCCCTCCCCCATCTCTCTCTCTCAATCCTCCCCCACTTTGGCTTTGTTCATGGGTCCTTCATATATGTTCCTTGACCCTTCCCTTCCCTTCTCCCGCCCCCCCTTTCCTCTTGACTCTGTTGGTTTCTTTTTTTCTTTCAATGTTGCTGGTTGTATTTTCCTTGGTTGTTTGTTTTCTTGGTTAGGTTCCACTTACAGGTAAGATCATATGGTATTTGTCTTTCGCCCCCTGGCTTATTTCACTTAGCATAATGCTCTCTAGTTCCAGCCATGCTGTCGCGAAGGGTAGTAGTTCTTTTTTTCTTTCTGCTGTGTAGTATTCCATTGTGTAAATGTACCATAGTTTTTTGATCCACTCATCTACTGATGGGCATTTAGGTTGCTTCCAACACTTGGCTATTGTAAATTGTGCTGCTCTGAACATTGGGGTGCATAGGTTCTTTTGAATTGGCGTTTTGGGATTCTTAGGTATAATCCCAGCAGTGGAATTCGCTGGGTAAAAAGGCAGTTTACATTTTTAGCTTTTTGAGGAAATTCCAAACTGTTTTCCACAGTGGCTGTACCAGTCTGCATTCCCACCAACAGTGTACTAGGGTTCCCTTTTCTCTACAGCCTCACCAGCACCTGTTGTTTGTTGATCTGTTTATGATGGCCATTCTGACCGGTGTGAAGTGGTATCACATTGTGGTTTTAATTTCCATTTCTCTGATGGCTAGTGATGCTGAGCATCCTTTCATATGTCTCTGGGCCCTCTGTATCTTTTCTTGGGAGAAGTGTCAGCCCAGGTCCTTTGCCCATTTGTCTCCTTGGAGTGGAGTTGTGTGAGTTCTTTATATATTTTGGAGATCAAACCTCTATCTGATGTATCATTGGCAAATATATTTTCCTATGTGGTTGGCTCCCTTTTTATTTTGCTGATGTTCTTTAGCCATGCAGAAGCTTCTCATTTTGATGAGGTCCACTTGTTTATTCTTTCCTTTGTGTCCCTTGCTTTAGGGGACATATTGGTGAAAATATTGTAGCATGGGATATCTGAGAGTTTCCTGCCTATGTTCTCCTCTAGGACTTTCATGGCGTCATGACTTCTATTTAAGTCTTTTATCCATCTTGAGTTTATTTTTGTGTATGGTGTCAGTTGGTGATCAAATTTCAATTTTTTGCATGTAGCTGTCCAGCTCTCCCAACACCATTTGCTAAAGAGGCTATTTTTACTCCAATTTATGTTTCTGCCCCCTTTGTCAAATATTAATTGACCATAGAGACATGGGTTTATTTCTGGGCTTTCTATTCTGTTCCACTGATCTATGTGTCTGTTCTTGTGCCAGTACCAGATTGTTTTGATTACAGTGGCCTTATAATATAGTTTGATGTCCGGTATTGTGATCCCTCCTACTTTGTTTTTCTTTCTCAAAACTGCTGCGGCTATTCGGGGTTGTTTATGTTTCCATATAAATTTCTGAGAGGTCCGTTCTATGTCTGTGAAATACATCATTAGTATTTTAATAGGGATTGCGCTGAATCTATAAATTGCTTTGGGTAGTATGGACATTTTGATGATGTTAATTCTTCCAATCCATGAACATGATATATGCTTCCATTTATTTGTGTCTTCTTTAATTTCTTCCTTAAGTGTTATAGTTTTCTGGGTACAGGTCTTTTACCTCCTTGGTTAAACCTATTCATAGGTACTTTATTCTTCTTGTTGCTATAGCAAATGGTATTTTTTTTTCTGATTTCTGCTTCTTCTACTTTATTGTTGGTGTACAAAAATGCCTTTGATTTCTGAATGCTGACTTTGTATCTTGCTGTTTTGCCAAATTCACTTATTAGGTTGAGTAGTTTTTGTGGAGTCTTTAGGGTTTTCTATGTACACTATCATGTCACATCTGCATACAATGATAGTTTTTCTTCCTCCTTTCCAATTTGGATGTCTTTTATTTCTTTTTCTTGTCTGACCGCTGTGGCTAGGATTTCCAATACTATGTTGAATAGAAGTGGTGAAAGCGGATATCCTTGTCTCGTTCCTGATCTTAGTGGGAAAGTTTTTAGTTTTTGCCTGTTGAGTATGATGTTGGCTGTAGGTTTTTCATATATGGCCTTTATTATGTTGAGGTATGCTCCCTTTATTCCCATTTTGCCAACTGTTTTTTTATCATTGTACAGCATATTTTAAAGCTGCTAAGAGAGTAGTTCTTCAAAATTCTCATAAGAAAACAATTATAATTATGTATGAATGTTAATTAGAATAGTTGTAGCGATCATTTTGCAATATATACAAATGTCAAAATTATAACATTTTACACCTGAAACTGTTATATGCTAATTATACATTAAAAAAAATCACCAGCATCAAATGACAACAACAAATTCACTGAAAATCATTTATTCCCTATAACTGTGTATCTACAACCAACTCTGTATCAGGTACAAATAAAACCTAAGGCACGGTTATGGCTTTCCCTACCACTGACATATAGCTGCAGAGACAAGTGACGTACCAGAGTGAGCACGAGGTAGATCAGGAGCCAGAGAAGGCAGCAGTTTAGGTATAAGAGAGGGCAGAGGGAATGAATTAGTCAGGGAAAGTCTTTTGAAGAAAATGAGGATTGGGCCAGATAATGGACATGAAAAAGCTACAGTTGAAAAAAGGGTAGGGGAGACATTTTAAGAAGGAATTTTCACTGAGAATTTTCTATTTTGGTAATAAGTGAACAAGGGAAAATCAGAAGACTAGTCTGTACTAGTAGTGAGATAAAATGAAGTTTTAAGGGACAGGTTAAGAGCCAGGGTGGAGAGGTAAAAATCAGTCCTTCAGAAAAGGATGAAGCAGAACAGGTATGAAGCAGGGGACCCCACGAATGGAACCACCCCAGTAGTGTATGTTGTAGAAGTCTAGTCACGTCATGAGACAATGATTTCCTAGAACTGCTTCAGGGAGATGAAATCTTATGATACAGGAAGAAGGTCACTGGCAGTCATTCATAGAGTTGTTACAATATAGTAGTAGTAGGAATGAAAGAGTGAAAGAGTTTTCTGGAAGTGAAAGCAATAATAAAATCACTCTTTTGACAAAAAAGGAAACACAAAATAACAATTAGCAGGAACATCAATGCAACATGGGATATACCTATTCAAAGAAGAATAAAACTCCACAAAAAAGAAGGAATGAAGATGCTCCTTATTTAGAAGGAAAGGGATCAAGAAAAATAAGGTAGTATGGGCCCTAAAAAAGAAGTCTGTTTATTCCCCATTAAATTTGCATTCTCTAATCACCAGAAGAAAATAATTAACAAACTTTAGATCAATATGACTATTTTAATATTTCTGAAATAAAAACTAATCAGTAATGGGTAAAACTCTTCCCTGGCTGGTGTGGCTCAGTGGACTGAGTGCTTGCTTGCAAACCAAAGGGTCACAGGTTCAATTCTCAGTCAGGGCACATGTCTGAGTTGTGGCCCAGGTCCCCCAATCGGAGGTGTGTGAGAAGCAACCAATCAATGTATCTCTCACACACTGATGTTTCTCTCCCTCCCTTCTCCTCTTTCTAAAAAAGTAAATAAATAAAATCTTATTTAAAAAAAGAAGGGTAGAACCCTGTTAACAGAGTAAAGAGAGGCAGACTATAAGTCACAACAAATGGACTATTCAGTAATCACAATACTGTGGGTAACAATCTCTCAAAGCTTCATTTTTCCTCATTTGCAAAACAGAGAATATCTATTCCTTTCTTCATAGGTTTCAAGAATCTAATGAAGTAAGGCACTACCAAAAGAGCGTTAAATACAGAAACAAGGCATCTCCAGTAATTCAGCAGGAATTTTAACTACCTTTTGTAAGCCATTTAGACCCCTTATCATTAAGCATTTCACAGAGGGACTGGAGGGAGGTAGAAGGTATTTTTAAAAAACACTGAAATATATTGAGAATAAAAGGAGGGAAGATTAGGTACTTGATGCCAGTGAATCTGGATGAGGATGCACTTTCGGACAAATGTCTGAGCAATCACTTGAAAGATGAACAAAGGCAAGTAGCCAAATAGGTCTGACAGCATGGCTTTGTGACGGATCAGTTCATCTTGGTCCTGACATTCTCTGAACAGTTTTATTGATTAGTTTATTTTTTTAACAAGTATTTACTGAGTATCTACTATGTATGAGGTTCTCTGTAGGCGCTGAATCAAAATCAAGACTTGTAAGACACATCTCTGATCCCAGGAACATCACCATACTGAGTACCTGGCTGGGATCCAGAAGCTATGCCAAGTGCTTTATATTACTTTATTTAATCTTTACAATGGCCCTACGATGTAGGTAATATTACTATCTTCATTTTATAATTGAGATTAAGACTTGCCTAACAGAATTTGCCTCTGTCTCCAGAGCTGGGGCTTTCGACTGCTATACTAAACTGTTGGTGATGAAAGCAAAGATATAAAAAAAATCAGACACTGAAAAGCTGCTACGTGACGCTTGGCTCTGGCACGGATGTGAAGTGCAAGAAGAGACTCTAGTTTTTAGAAGTAAAATCACCAAAGGAAATAGTATAGATAACCCAGGGATAGGAACTCGCATTGTATGTACAGCAAAAGATAAATCATGCTTTATATTATCTGACACGTAAAAAATTTTGTGTGGATTAAAGGAATTCTTCAATTTACCCTACAGAGTTTTGAGGACAAGATATGCATAGAAAAATACAAATGATTCAATTTTATTCCCAAAACTCTAAAAACGATGGGTTTCTTAATTTTAACTTATTAGAAGTGAAGGTCTGACAAAGAGACATGAAGCAATATATTAACTGGACAACTACATGGTAAACACCGAGAATCTAAAAATACATTTTTCATATAGGCAGATACGGATCTAACCCTGAATGACAGAATTCTATGATTTATGAACCTTTCAGGCACAGTGTCTGTTCTGAAAAGCACACACAAAGCAATTTCAAGATAAAATACATTGTCTGGTATCCAAGATAGCTTTCAGAATAATACTTACAACAGGAAAAAATTACAGAAAAATCTTAAACTAAGATCTCAAGTATATTAATAGGGCAGTATGACTAGCTAAAATAGTATCATTATAGCTCCAGAAACAATGGCAGAATGTGCTTCTGTTCTCACCTGGGTTTTAATGTTTTCAGGATCCTCAGCTTGGCTGTCTCGTTTCTGACTGGGCTTCCAGGCATTCTCTGCCTTTTTTAGGTGCACATCTTCTTTCACAGAGACTGTGATGATCTTCCTGGGTTCTCTTCTCTGGCCAGGTTGAGATCTCCGTGGTCCAACATTCAACAACTAGGACAAGAATATTCTTTATTATATCTACACAGAGTACTTACAATTTACTGTCTCTGCTATGCTGCTCAAGTCAAGCCTGATGATCACAACAAATACTTCTAGATGCAAAGATGAATGTTAGGCACTCAATTTAGATCTGCAAAACAGAGAATATTTTCTCTGTTCTCCCCTCAGAAAAGAATTTACTGGGGGATTGGGGAGTTAGATCACCATCAATGTAATGTTCTCCAACACTTCAATTTTAGATCCTGAAGCTCTAAATGAAATAAAGTGATGGTAAATTATATTCAATAAAGCTGTTGTTCCTCACAAAAAAGGAAAAGTTACCCTTAACTGGAGCTCGTTTTATTAGTAACTTTGAACTAGTCACTTTGAAAAACTACACAAATCCATGTACAATAATAATCAATTACAAATTTCCTTCAAAAACTGGGTTTCTAAACTGGGTGAAAAGCAATACAAATTCTCAGATTTAAAGTGTCCTTCAAAAGTTGCACCATATAGCCCTGGCTGGTGTGGCTCAGTAGACTGAGCGTCAGCCTGTGAACAAATGGTCGCTGGTTCGATTATCAGTCAGGGCACACGCCTGGGTTGCTGGCTAGGCCTCAAGTAGGGGGCATGTGAGAAGCAACCACACATTGATGTTTCTCTCCTTCTCTTTCTACCTCGGCTTCCCCTCTCTCTAAAAATAAATAAATAAAATCTTTTTTTTTAAAAGTTGCATCATATATAATGAGTGACTTACCATATTTTGTTGTGTATAATGTGCACTTTTTTGCTTCAGTTTTTGAGAGGAAAATAATGGTGCGCATTATACATGGGTAGTACCTAAAATACCTTGTACCTGTTCTTGTGTTTTGTAATTATTTGTTACATAAAATTTCTTGTACCATATATTAAAAAATAAATGCTAAAATTCATTTATAATACAAAAAACAAGTATCTAAATATAAATAAATAAATAAATAATAGAATCAAAGAACTAAAACGAAAGATTTCTTCCCTCAAAGTTTGGGCACTAAACATGGGTACGCATTATACACAGTGAAATACATTATTTATGAGACACAAACAAAATCTGGGATCTAGTACTAAGAGTTACTAAGTATACAAAAAGAAATGAAGCCTAGTCTCTTTAACTGACGGACAGACAATCCTGATTGATGGCTAGAAGAGAAACTTTAAGGTATAATATGCTCAGGGTCCACAAATGTCAGAACCAATATGTAGAGTCAAAATCTGGGCTTAACTAGTGAGCCAAAATTTTTTGCAGGTGAACTGGGAGTTTAAAGTTTTTACCCACTCTCATATTTTTCTTGAATGTATTAAATACGAAATTATACTTATCTCTGTTTTAGAGTTTACTATATATTGCTCTTATCTCATTCAGAGCCTATAACCTCAAACACCTCTGCTTAACTGGATAACCAAAGGAAATAGGACTATTATTCACCCTAGCAATTTTTAAGGAGAGACAACTAATTGTTATTTTAAGAAGAGAGGGAAGCATGATATGAGCTCAGGAAAACTTTGTCCCTAGGAATTTTTTTTATAGTTCAGCTAATCTCAATGAATATAAATGGCAGGTTACTAGTCTAGGTCTATTGACCCTTCCTCAATACATTTCTTTTGGGATATTCTCTGTGATGTCTATCAAAAAATTGCCATTAAAATACCACAACTGCCATGTAATTTGCCTTCTAAAAAAGCTAGAGATGATACTGGGTGCTTCCAAATGATGTGCACTTTACTGACCATCAAAAGACCATTATATTTGAAAACTGTATGCCACTGCATATGACACATTAAAACAAATGCTATGCAATAAAAATGTTACAAGTCCATTGCAGGAAAGTTTATACTGGGAATTATGGGTATTTAAGCCACACTTATGAAGCACATGTAGTAAATATTAAGATTTTTGGGTGGTAGCCATTTATAAGCCAATTTGGAAGCTGGTAAACATGACTAGATGTAGCAAACCAGAAACGATCAAGAGTAGGGCTGCTACTTTTTTCCAAAATAGCATTATTGATTGTTCTTTCATCTGTATCTACATCAATATACCAAAGTAAGCTGGACAAATTAAATGGAGAATATCTGTTAGCTAATGGAGATGTGGAAGAATTAACTACTTGCATTAAACCAATAGGTCACAATTTCATTTAAAATCAGTTTGTGGCATATGACAGAGCTATATAAAGAAAGTGAATTAAACAATTAAAGCTGACCTTTCTGGAGACACTACGAATTCTTGATAATGGCTCATTTCCAGTCATATTACTTTGCATGCACCATTACTCATTTGTCTGATATTTGTGTTCACAGAGATTAGTAGGCAAAAACACACTGTGATAGTCACTTTTAAAATTCATTTTCTAACTTCAGTATTTTAAAAGAGATACAGTTTATTCTCAATTCAGAGTATTCCCTTTTTGCTATATCTAATTAGCAGACAGTAGCAACCTGGTAATGAGAAGTGACAGTACACGCTGGAAGGAGAGATGTGGCAATCCACAGCTTTTGCTAGTGACATGTGAACAAAATTGAGCAATATGATCATCACAGATGCTGTTAACCAGAGATTCATCAAAATGACATTAACATCATTTCAAATGTTTGGCAAAACAGAGATATAAATCAAAACTAAAACAAAACTAAAACAAAAACAAATGCTGACAGAAATATCAATTTAAGCCACCAAAAAGGGAAATAATGCTGAAAAATAAAGTATAAAATGGTTTCTAGAAAGCTGTTTTCTAAGATGTTCTGGTGAGGATATTCAAATTCTATAACAATCTTAACTTTGCATTTAGAGAAAATAAAGGTTAAATTTCAAACCTGTGTGAGAACAGAGGTCTTTAAGATGGTGGTGCTTGATAAATAATATGCTTTAAATTAATAAGATTATCTGTAGTTGTTACTAAGCCTCCAATACACTGTATGCATTTAAATATTTTCAGTCAGCCTGCAAGCAAACAATCAAATAATTCAAATACCTACAAAGTGACATTTGTTTTCAGATGGTGTAGTCTTATTTCCAAGCAGGTTTCAAAAGTTGCCGTTACGGAGAAAAAAGGTATGGGGAAGGAAAAAGTGTCACCTTATATAAAATTATTTTTACAAACATCAAATAGTCCTAACAGGGTGATCCGCAAATGTACATCAAACCCAGGCTCCTCCAGAACTTAAAGTGCTCTAAGCCATTCCAAATTGGGAAAAAGAAGCATTCACATCACTGGCAGCTTTCCCCCATGCTTTCTGCAACTCTACGAAGCATGGAGCAGCCTGATTCTGCCAAACCCTGCACAGGGCCGTGCCCCAGCATAACTCCACTGGTGATGCTACTTCCACCGCTGAAGAGCCTGCTACTAAGGGTGTGAGGGCAATCTGCAGTTTACAACACTGCACCCTTTTGTATGTCACTTGGTCATATTTCCACTTCACAAACTACTGTAAGTGATAAAAGGAAAACATAAAATACTCTAACACCACAGATTCCTGTTTAAAAAAAAAAAAATCAGCACACCCCTAGAGGCAGGCTCTTCAATAGCGGGTACAACATCACCAGTGGGGTACAAGTTGGTGCTTTGCTCTGTTCCAGAACTGGCAATCTATGCCTGCTCTGCACTCTGCAAATCTGTAGAAACAAAGACAAAGAGATGGCCATTAGCTGAAAGTCATCAGAGATCTGTAGTATACCAGGAAACCTCAAAACAAAATAGGAATCATACTCAAGGTTGTCTCTATTTTTTAACCCATTTGCAGGTCATTTCAAGGCCAAATTCATGTAGACCGGCTTCCTTCCAAGTAAAAATGACTCAAGTGTACTCTTTATTTACTTTAATACTAATTTGAAAAGGACAGTCTTCACCTCTTCTACTCTTCTTCCTGTTTAAAGGAATCAACAAATAAAAGCTGCTCTCTTGCCATTAGACAAGATGCCATGAAGTCTAGGACAGTTTCTAATTGGGCTGCAGGGAATGTGCACTTACAGGTACACCTCTTCCTCCAGAGGTTTGCCTTCCAAAGTCTGCAAAGGCTGGAGTAAAATCTGGTCCTCGAGGCAAAATTCGAGGATCCAGAGTTCGCAATGGCAATTTGGGTTGGTTGATCTGCACGAAGAAGAAAAGGAAAGCTTGACACAAATTCCAGAGCATCCAGTACCACAAAGATAAAACCTTAGATTGAAAAGCTATGTCACCTGTAATGGTAAGCATTGGTTTCCTGAACCAGTGAAAGCCCAGTCTGAACCTGGTAGCTTCTTCTGGGCTAGCATTAGAGCCCTTAGGTCAACATGATGCCCTGGGACTCATTAGGCCTAAAACTCCCACGGAGAAGCTAGACGCAGTCAGTGAACTGGTTCACTGGTCAGAACCAGTACAATGACACAAGATGAACTATTCTGGGATTCTATAAACAAGGGTCAAATTTTAGGATTTTTTTTCTAGCATATTCACTAGGACATCAGAGCACCTGCCAATGAGAATCCTGCTACTGCTCATTTTGGTTTTGATGCTGTTGACTTATAATTAGAAAAGCATGTACTCTGAGTGGACAGGAAGTCTCAAAACGAGACTATGTTTCATATGTATAACTCATTTAAAATCTCACTTTGTCTGGTTAACAGAAGTTATCTGGCTTTGTATAGGCATAGAATATGACTATAGACTCAGCAAAGTTAAGTAGCTCAGCGAGAAATCAACTAATGATTGGCCAAAGTCAGAAACAGGTAAGGTAGGAAGATGGGAAGGAATATTTTCCAAAAGGATAATCTAATTCAGTGAATAAAGTACTGAAGTAGCCTTAAATTAGCATTGCCAATCATTCATCTGTCTCATATAAGTACCTAAGAGAAAAGACTTAGATAGCAAGAAAAATTTTAAGACCTGTTGCTGTAAGAAAGTAAAATAATACAAATAAGATTTGGAAGTCTTAATAAGAGGTGGATCTCATTCTGTAAGATATTTATCCTCTACTTTAATTAGGGATTTATAGTTCCTCTTCAAAACGATATATTTCATCACCAGCACTGGTTCATCACCGACTTACATGAATACTTGGACAGGTAAACATCTGACTTTACTCCTTTTAATTTAATAAACAGTTAAAAATAAACACTGACTGTACTAATTTTATGTATGCATCATTAAGGTCGGATGTGAAGGTAAAGGATGACTATTTATTTGCACAGGATTAAAGACTAATCACTACAAGAATCTATTGGAGGAATTGTGATATATATCTTACTTGAATTATGCTGATTCCTATTTAAGTTTGATTTGCCAAATACCTTCCTAGGTTTCTGGTCTGTCCTTAATGCCATTCTAATTCCATATTGAAATTTTAGAACAGTGGTGAAAGAGGTCTATATCACTTTAGCTATATTAGCCCAACAAACAATTCTTACCACATCACTAGGAAATATATATAATAAGCAGACAATCATTCATTTTTAAAATTTCACCACCCAACTATGGGTCAAATCTCAATCTCATTATAGTATAAGAAATCCAAAATCCAAACTCTAATTCTTAAACATTATATACCATTTAAACATTCAAATACCATTTAGTCTTAAATTCCTAAAAATTGTTCATACTTTACATTTTTGCACTGATCATAAAAACTACTTCCTACCAAAAAGAGATGATCATTCTCTGAGTACTCCGCTTACCTTGTCAAGAACCACATCACTGATAGGAGGCAGGCCCTCTGGTTTCTGTATACAGGCTGGCATGAACTGAAAGTCCAACAAAAACTCCCTGTCATACTGCTTCTTGCCTTCAGTATCGGCAGGCTTCCAAGACTCTAGAAAAAGAAATGTAGGCAGAACCAGCTGTCTATAAGGTCATTCTATGTGTATCCAGTAAAAGTACAAATCAAATCCAATATTTACTTTTTCTCATCATAAACAAACACAAATGCAACATTGAGCTACAGTCAGGAAATGCCACATAAAGCTTTTAAACTGTCATTTGTCCTTTTATTCGTTCTGGATAACTCTGGATAGGAGAGTAATCTAAAATAAGTTGATATAGGAACCACTTCATATACACATTCAGCAGCCTTTGGATCCTCAGTAAATGAACTACCACAACAATAAATACCTCAGAAATAAGGAATTTAATAATATTCTTGGTTTCAGGAAAAAGAAAGATACTTTAGTTGTTCACCTGGCAATGTTTATTTAGAAGAGAAAAAGGTAAGAAGACAAAAACAAGTAACATTTAAAATTCTGAAAAGTTTAAGCTGCTAAATATATAATTTTTCCCTTGACTACAGTTTAATCTGAATAAAATAAAATAACGTACTTGCTTGCTGACTAAACTGGGAATGCACACATCTTTCTCTAAAAATCATGACACTAAACACTAGTTAGATAATATTTTTAATAGAATTTTAAATTATTTTGCTATAAAACTTGCTTGCTATTATTACTACTGTTAAAGCTATCATTACTCACAATCCTACTTTCATCGTATGAAGTTAGAAAATTTCTTAAAATTTTTATTAAATAAAAAGTCACAATTTTTTTCTTTTAATTAACTCTCATCAAAATCAGGCCACACCTCATTTCATGAGAGCACACTGGGTCCTTCTTTTATTAGTGGTTCCTAATGTGTAGGTCATAGACTCACTGATGGTATGTGAGAATTTTGCATTTTTCAACCAAATCTGTATTACTATATTACAGTCATTAAAAGGTAGATAGTCAATTGGGATCTAAATTTTAAATTGCCTGTCCCACCGCCCTGATTATTGCTAGTATATATTACGGGGATAAAAGGCAGTTAGTTAGTCAATATAGTTGGGGCCTATAGTTGTGCACTTTTTCCTTGCCAAACTGAAGGAAAAAAATATAATTCACACAAACCTAAAAATGACAATAGTGGCTCAATTTCCTGAAGAAGGACTGGTGGAGGCCATAAATGCATGGTGATATGACACAAGCCTAGACCTTTATAAGCAATTTCAGAGTTCTAAGTTTTAAAAAATTACAATTGCATAATTTTATAATTTCAAAGCACATTAGCAGCAGTTTACTGGTAATGTAGTATATATTATATCAATCAATGGCTTTCAAACATTTCTGACCACAACTCACAGCAAGAAATATAATGACTTCATGATTCAGGACAAACATAAACACCTATAAAAATGAAAGGTTTCTTAAAACAGTATGACCCTTATTACATGTAATAAACTGACTTTTTACTATTTTCATTTTACAAAATGGTTGGTTGTAACTCTAAATTAATTTTACAATCTATTAAATGAGTTTAAACTAGCAGTTTGAAAAACACTGGTCTAGATGATTTCTGAGGTCTAATATTTTACATTCAAACCCTATCTCAATGCAGAAGTCACTCCAGATTTGACAGACTAAGAAAAAACTTTTCATCTATCTAGAACTTTCTATCAAAGGAGCCACCACCTCTTCCTACCATATAAAATAGCTCTACAACCTCAAAGTCAAGCATGGTTTACATAGTACTAGGAGAGAAGTTTAATGGATTTGACAATGTCTAAAGATGAAAGACCCTCTAGTGTTTATTCTATATTTCCCAGGGAACACCCCATCCTGCAGGTGCTCAGTGATACAATCAGATTGCTTTCTGATTCAATACTGGAGTTTGGTTCTATAAGACAACTTCTGTCAACAAATTTGAGTTCAAGCCTTGTGAAATGATGAGTACACTATCTCAAGTGACACAGTCATATCTGAAATATCCCCTTCACTTAAAGTTAAATTTCCTCTATTAAAGTCAACCAGCCAAGCGCTGATTGAGTCTGTTTGCCAGCTGCACTTCCAATGCCAGTAAATGCAGGACACCAGCATCAGATATCACTTCCACCAACACAGAACTCTCTGCACTTGCTGATCACTAAGTTATCCTGCTGATCACTTAAGTATTACACTATGATGAGCCTCTTCCTTCTGTCCACTATTTCACTCTAAGGAGGCAACATTTCTCTAAGGTTACAGTGGAGGAAAGGGAAAAAGGAAAGATGTACACAGGAAGGCAGGGACAAAACTTACCTGGTTTAAATGGGAATGTGACCCCTTCACCAGAACTATCAGTGGAGCCTGAATTAGCATCTATTCCTTCACCCTCAGAAACACTCTCAGCACCATTACGTACAGGCTCAGCTTCTTCTCCGTTTTCTTCCACAGCTTTCACTTTTTTTAGGTCTGAGGAGTCTCTCTCAGGATGAAACCCCTGGCTCATTTTATCTTGCTCAGATTCAAGTACTTTATCACCTGAAAGCTCTTCTTCAGCTGTAGGCTAAAGCATAAGCGAACACAGAGGTTATATATTTTTTCCACTCTGTGTAAATACACATGAAGACTTACACCTATCCCCCTCGAATGCGTAGGAAAACACATCACTCAAGATAAGGAGGTCTGTGTTCAGCATATAAGGTACTAAAAAGGTAAGTTTGCTTAAAACACTTTTCTCATTTCATCTCCTGGGATAATGCAGACAAGTTAAATGGCTACTGAAATGCTTTAACATGACTAATGAAATCTAAATGTACCAAAGGTTAGAACAGAAAGAACTGTTAATCCTTGGAACTTGATGGACATGAAACAGTCCTAGTCAGAAATCTAAATCAAGCATGCCTACCTACCCTTATCACTACAACTCAGCAAATATAAAAAGAAATAATACAGGGTTGTTGCATTTATTTTTTCCTGCTCTCCTCTGGATGCAAAATGAAGAGTTCAATGACTAGTTTAAAGTATGTAAGTTCCATAAAGCTGATCATCTCTCATTTTACAAGGATGCCACTTGTTAAGTAAAATTTAGTTTGTTTATTCGTTCTTAGAATTCTCTGAGGCTGTGACCTTATTCAAATCATATATGGAAAAATGTTTGCAATATATTCCCCTAGGGAGAAATCTGGGTTCTGGTGCATCCTATTTTTAAAAAGCAAAATAGAATTGCGTTATTCACCAGAATATTTTTGAACATTTATTGACCAAATCCAAAAAATGGATTTCTTAAGGGTTAGATGAACTATCAAAACTTCTGAGGCCAAGTTCTCCATGAACTTTAAGTATTTTTCATGACGGGTGAGCACTCAAAGTAATTCTTTGGAAGAAGCATTCACAGGAAATAGGCATTCCTACTGGTAAGTTCACACAAGGAGAACCAAAAATAAATGCTCTGTTGAACTGGTTCAACAGAAGACTGTATAAGAGAATATCATATATTCAAAAAAGTGGTTACCCACTTTTCGTGAAATTAATTTCATAAAATTTATGAAATTTTTAATGAAAGAGTTACAGATCCTACTTTCTTATATACGTATTATAACAAGCATTATACTAGTAAATTTTCTTCTATTATACGTCACATCATGGGAAAAAGACATTAAATTTTAAAATCAACAGAAACGAAAGGTTTTCAGGACTTATTTCTACAATGGAAATGTTAAGCTCTCACGCGCACACACACAGGCACGCTCGTGCATGCGCACTTCTCCACCCCCCGAACAGGGAGAGACAGTACGGTAACCATGGAAAGAAAAGGCAAACATAAAAGTTCCAACAAAATAGAGGCTGAAATGATTTATTTTTATAAGACATGGAAGAGTATAGGAATCTTTTAAACTTTAGGAAAAAACACATCTACCAGGTGTGAATCATGAATTAGCAGCCTCACTTTTTCTTATTCTACTTATTATGAATCTAAATTAACTCATAATGACCTTGTAATACTACTTTATTATTAAGTACAGGTCATCAAGAAGACCTTTAATAATTTAGCATGTGAGCCTATAAATGGTACTTAACTTTATTAAAGAGCAGTAAACTACATTATTCTACATACAATAATATAGAATCCTTATTTTGAATCTTGTTAAATGTGAAAAAATGCTGTTTTAGAGAACAAAAAATACATTGGTATCTTCTATGTAGAGGTTGTAATGGTTGAACAAAATTCCAAAGAATATTTTCTAACATGTGAGTATTATATGAGATTCAAATTTCAATGCCCATTCACCATTCATAAACACCCTAAAATCAACAACAATGGATAATCCATTAGACATTAAAAGACAATGCATTATTTGGAAAGTTAACTTCTAACTGGAAAAAGCAGTATAAAACTTGTTTCATAAATAACAAACCGGAATACAGAATCACTAAGATGTGTGAGGCACTTTGTTAAAAGAGATATTTTTCAAGGGAATCCACAAAAATAGTGCATTAAATATTTATGATAATTATTTTTCTTTCAGCAGACTGAAGCTCTATTCAACTAGTTTGTAAGTACCTAACAGTTCCTAAATTGTTTACTAAGAAAATCAGATTGAAAAAAGAAAGCACTTTATTGTCTAGGCTGTCACAAGTGAAACTTTTATAGGAACTTAAGAATTTAGTTGACAAAACTGTATGCTTAATTAATGCCTGAGTTTTTTAAAGTGCTAAAAAAATCAGATTGACAACTATGTATGCAACAAATGATGAAATATCCTAAAAATTTTAAACAAATTTTAAGATGGCTTGATTAACAATTTTAAGAGGAATCACCTTTCATGTTATCTTTCTAGGCTACAATTTGAAGAATTTAATCAAGTATTCCCAATGATGAACAACTAAGATAGTATGCTGATACCTGAAAGATTCTTTAAAAGCCTGACACCTCCCTAAGGAGAGCCTGATGAGGAGTGCAAATGAAGACGACAACAGCCAGTATTTTCTAAAGTGCTCTCATGCTCAACTTTATGACAGGGACTAGGATTTCTGTAAAAAAAGCCTGTGTTTGCAAATTACCAAATATCTTTTTATTATACTTTTAAACTATAAGGTTAAAAGAAAGTGATTGGTTCAAAATGAGTCAAAAGTTGTCATGCATGAAGAATAACGATCTAAAGCAGGTTTTAGCAAACTGTGGCTCATCACCTGTTTTTCTGTCATGCATAAGGTAAAGATGACTTTTATGTCTATAATTGTTGATAAAAACTCTGAATATTTTATGAAACATGACTATTACATGAAATTTCAATGTTTGTCAATAAAGTTTTACTAAAATACAGCCACAATGATCTGTTTACATATTGTCTACGGCTGCTCTTGGGTTACAGCAGCAGAGTTGAAAAACTGTGACAGGAATCATATTGCACAGTCCACAAAGCCTAAATTATTTACTATGTGAACCATTATAGGAAGAGTTTGCCAACCGTGACCTAAAGAGGAGGGTGAATGAAGGCGCAGCAACGGTGGCCTACCCATTTAATAGTCAGTAACGCTTAGAAATCTAGCCACAAGGCAAAGAAACATGAAGCATAGTAAGAGAAAGCTAATAAAAAACAGCTGAATCTAAAGAGCAACCAGTCTGAGGGGAATCTAAGTGATTCCCCTGCGTCTGGAGTTATTTTATTTTCTGTGAAAGCAACAATTTTCTTGTTCAGCCACAAAAAGTTCAACAACTATTTGCACCTTTGTAACTTACTGCCTATTCTTACCCCCAATAACCACACTAAAATCACATCTATGAAGCATTTTTGTAGTTGCTATGGGACTAACTATGACATCAACAGAGCACCATGTAAGAGCAATGACAGGACAGGGAGAAGTAACAAAGGGGCACTGTGAGCTGCGTGAAGAGGGTAAGAATTGTAAATAGACAAAAAACCCTTAAGAAACAAATATATTTAAAGTTATTTTAAAATAATGTTTACACTTAATGTTATGTTACAAATTCAATAAAAATTATTCTAGTAAAAGGGACAAGAGTAAAAAAGATTGTTTATACTACTCTTCATTTATAAGCTTCAGTACACAACGTGAAGGACACTGAAATTGCAGAGGTGAGAAACTGTTAGAGCACCATTTAGGGCTCAAATCTGCCCTTGTTTCTGCCTCACGTCATCTGGGCCTGGCAGGCTCTAACAAAATCTGGTGTGGCTTAGTTCAAACAAGCAAACCATATGTGAAAAGTTATCTTACTGAGTGAAATGCAGTTAAAAGATGACATTCGAAATGACCTGATGATTTCTACCACCATTGCTTATGGGTATTTGAAAGAACTGTCTCCACTTTTCTTTACTAGATCAGTCTTTCCATCTGATTAATGTAAGGAAAAATTCAATTAAGGGGATGAAAGAGTTAAGTAAAAATTAAACAATAACTTACTTTCGTCATTTTAGAAGAGGTATTCTGAAAGAGAGACAACAACTCAATGAAATTGAGCATGTTATTGAAAATCTTTTCAGCCCTGACCAGTATGGCTCAACTGGTTGGAGCGTCAGTCAACTGAAAGGCTGCGGGTTCAATTCCAGGTTATGGCACATGCCTAGGTTGTGGGTTAGGCCCCTGTCGGGACGTGCACATTGGGCAACTGGTTGGTGTTCCCCTCTCACATCGATGTTTCCTTCCCTCTCTACCTCCTTTCCCTTCTAAAAATCAATAAGCATGTCCTCAGGTGAGGATTTAAAAAAAAATCTTTTCAAACTCTGTAAAAGGACTTTTAAAAAAGCCAGACACTGAGCTTGATATATCAAATTTTGCCTGGTAAACAGTATCTCAAGAAAGAGGAATAAACCCACACTTGTCTTAAGAAATGGCTCCACTGTTCTGAAGATAGGCTAAGAAGATTTACTGCTGCCTCTTACCTCCAATTCTGCTTCTAACACCTCTTCAGTGGTTCGGGTCCGATCTTTTGGTTTCTTCCACATCTTTGGTGCAGTTATAGCTGTCTGAGCTGAAACACAAGATAAGGCTGCCATTAATTCCCACTGCAAAGCTATGTTTGGAAATATTAGGTCTAAATGATACCTGTATTCAAATTTAGCCGAAAAGGGCTCTCACTCATACTTATGAGACAGACGGATGATAAAGTAAACAATTATGAGCTGTGGAGCAGGGATGCAATGGCAAATGTCTTGAGCACAAATATTCTCATCAGCTCATATGGCTTTCCAACCAGTGACCTAGGCACATAGTTCAGTATATGGTGATTTTCTATATAGAAAACTGGTCTACCAGCCAATTTTAGACATGGACCTGCTGCTATTGCTCATTAACTATGTGATCTTTAGCAAGTCATACTTCTCCGGCCCCTGCATATTCTACTATAAAGTGTAAGAGTGAGATCAGATAATGTCTAAGGTTCCTTTGAGCTACAAAAAATATTAAATCTCAGGCTTTGGGGTTTTTTAAGAAGCTTTCTAAACAAAAGGATACTTTGAGATTTCATCTGATAGGCAGCACTTCTACAATATTCAGGTCTCATTTCAGATCAGTACCTTTGGCTTAGCCTTTAATATTGCTGGGGTGAAAATTAAGAAACATTTTTTTAATGAACTATGCTATTGTACCAGAAGTTCTAGATGAAAAATTAGGCTTACAAAAGATTTTCACAATTCATCTTACAAATTCCAAAAAAAAATCATCCAACACTTGCACGTATGATTTAAACATCAGACAGCAAATAGAATATATTGAAAAAAACTACAAAAGGCAACATGTGAGTTAACAGAAAGAAATGAGCTATTATAGCCAGATGGGTAAAGAAATGAGTAAAAGAAAAGCCACTTAATAGGGACATTAGACATTATCAAAAGTGAATAAACACAAAGCTGATTCTCTATAGAACTACGAGATCATTCATTTAGACTAAAGCAACTCATTTCTCTGGGACAGCCTCAAATCTTTTTTGGAAGAACAGCAGAATAGGAATACTTAACATTATTTTGAGGAACAACAACAAAAAAGACATTTAACACTCTTCTCAAACTTACTGTTCCATCAATAAAAACCCCCACTCTAAACTCCTTTGCTATATACACCTCAAAGCAATTTATCTTCTCCTTCTCCTCAGGGAACATAATGAACAAGAAAACCATCCGTGATTCTTCCTTTGTAGCCGACTCAAGGTAAACCATTTTTTCAAAGTATGAAACACAGATTGTAACTGTGGGTGGGTTTAAGTCTGCTGTAGTGTCACAATCTTATACTAAATATATGATGTATATTCATGTATGTATGCATGTAATGGTCTCTTCATTTTTTATGGATCTTCTGATTTATAAAACCAGTCTGTTTTATGTGCATCTCTCCCAAATGCTTGTGATGAATTCTGTTTCCATAGCAGAATCCTTTTAAAGAGTTTGGGGAACCTGTACATTTCATTTCAAAATCTACTTCATAAATGCATAAATTCAGCTCTAAATTCCATTCATGGAAAAGGGGAAACACTTTCTGGAGAATTCTTTGGGATTAAATAGAAACTCGTCCTGTCTCTAAATAACAAAAACCCAGACTATATCAAATGTACCGAACCCAAAACATTAAAACATTTCTTATATGGGGAACATATGACATTTATCGTGCTTTTAAAAAAAATAGCTACTTATATAGAAGGAACTGTTACTCTGTTTAAGTGACTATTTAGAATTTTACTTTAGAGCAACACTTCACAACTAGAGGTGAGACAAAGCACACACCTCTTTAGGAGACAGTCCTTTCAAAAACTGAAATCATATATACATACCACACCTAGTGTCTAGTGAGATTGTGATGAACATCCCCTCTTCTACCATTATTGATGCAGATGTGTAGTAAAATTTGGGTGTGCTAAAAGCGGGGGAGCAAAGAAAGAGGGAGAGACATAGAGACATGGATACCAACTCCCTCATTGAAAGGACAATTATTGCAGAATTAGCTAGAACAGGGGAATTAAATTTCAGACACTGTCCCAGATTTTTCTTTCCTTCCTAGTCCCTTCCCAATACTTACACCTTAGACGAGGCCCGCATTACTGCATTTATTTAACTAAGAGATAGTTTCTTAACTCACTGCCTCTGATTCTGACTTTAACACACCATATATAATACTGACTGAATGATGGCTGTTGTAAATAATTGATTTGAATGGGTTATTCTTCTACTTAAAACTATTCTTTAAGGCATCATCCATAGAGCCTAGAAAAATTCCTTTACATGATGAGCACTCAAATTTGTTGACTGAACAAATAAGAGCAGATCTGTGTGAGAGAGTTATTACTGACATTCTGAAAACAAAGACATAGATTCTTTCTTTCTTGTGCTGCATTAAAGCACCACAGGACAAACGACAATCTCTGCATGAGATTCATAATTATCTGAATTTAACAGATGACTAAAGCAGCCTCCCCTCAAACCCCATGAAAAGTCAACTCTTATAGGCACATTTATTTTCTACTACTTTAAAATGTAAAATAAGTGTTAAAAAAAAAAGCAATACTAGAATTTACAGGGTTTTTTTTTTTTTTTTTTTTGCAAATTGTTACATTGTTGGCAGAAAACCCCAGGTTTTTCTTCAGACCTTATTTCAAAATGACAGACATAAATTCAGAAAAAGAGTAAGGACACAGACAAGTTTAATCATTGGGTGTTAAGAAGATTTCTCTCTGACAGAGATTTTAGAATTCATGTCAAGAACTGCACGAAGTTAGAAATGTTTCTATTTTCAACTCTCAATCCATGAATGGAATACAGGCTCCAGAAAATCGTGCCACATCACAACTGTTATAACTGGCAATGACTCTGTTTTTAAAAAGAAAGCACAATATGGTTACATTTTTTCTGGTATCTGTAAGATGCACGACAAGTCACACCTGTAAGTGGAAGAGTTTCTTAGTTTTTCATTTATTTTTTATATAGGCTCTACTGCAGTCAAGTTGCTACTCTTGCAAATGAAGAGCTAACAACTCTGTGTACAACCTAGGTGTTAACTCCTGGACTTGGAGAAAAGAGGCTAATATACAAGATTCATAAATGTACTGGGTTTTCATTAAATCCACATAAGTCTGTGTAATTAGTCGACTCCCCTCCCCCACCCCGATGACTGAGAAAAACTGTTAGGTAAAATGGTAGATCATATAGAAATGAAAGAATCAAGAGTAGTTAAGAGACAGGAATATAAGGAACCCTTAGGAACTACTCTGTAAAAACATGATCTCAAACATATACTCTCTCTTCCTTTGCCTTGCAGGAGGATATCCATTCTTAGAGAAACTCCAAGTAGCTTTATCGTGGTTTCTAGTCTGGAATCCTGATTCTGAGAGATGTCAGAAATGTTACATAGTAAGTACAAGAATGGCAAACATTACTGCTATCATTGGCATACTAATATTCCCATGTCTGGATTATTCTTATTTCTTTTAGTCCTGTCAGACTTTACATAAATATGACAGATACCCTTTTAATCTCAAGTTATTCCACTAGTGATGCAACAGAAGTCTGAAAAGATACCATGTTGGTAAACTTAACATTGCTTCTCTTTACTATATCATTTCTTATTACTTATTTACTAGTCAGGTAGGTACACAAATAAATTATAAGCGTTAACAAAGTTTTCTATTTTCTCTGGTGTCAACAAGGAAAGAGACCTTTTCCACTCTCCCTTTTCTTAGATCTTTGCCTGGAGAAAGTTTGTAATTGTAAATATATGTGTAAATTTTTTTTAAAAGCCAAAGAAGCCTCTTTACAACTCAGGGATGTTTTTCTTAAGGGTCTAGGAGCTCTCTCTCTCCCAGCCAACATGGGAGGTTCATCCAGGCAACTAACTTCTGTAATCACCTGCTTGTCATGAACATACAAAAAGAGTAGTTTTTCCTTTGGATAAAGACAACTGACTGACACAGACGGACAACTGCCAGAAGTTAGGATAAATCAGGTATAATAGCAATGGTGTGCTGGTAGTGTAGTGCTTACCTGAGGACAAATTATCATTATCTTGAGAATACCTATGTAATGGATTGTGTGTGCCTGGCTTCAACAAAGGGTGAGCTTTCCTTCTGTCTGCACACTCATTAGTGGGCTGCCTGTGGTGCTCACTGCAGTCTTTTTTTCCTTTTTATTAAATGCGTCACGGCGACACTGATTAACACAATCCTACCACACATCACCTGCACACTGTGTTGAGCGGCCACCACCCCAAGCGTCCGTCCATCACCACTTACCCCCCTCATCCCCTCCTCCGCATCCCCCCTTTCCTCCTCCTCCAAACACCACAGTTGTCCGTGTTCATGAGTTTTCTTTGTGCTATTGCTCCATCCCTCCCCCGACCCAGCCTCAAACCGCACCACCTGACAGCTGTCAGCCTGCTCTCACTGCAGCCTTCATGTTTATTCAATAATAAAACTATTTTCTTTCTTTCCCACATTTCTGGGAGAGGATTTTCGGGGTTGGGAGATTATTTCCATTTTTTCCCAACAATCTGATGACAAGAATGGGAAGGTCTGGAAGTGCCTGAAATGAGCAGAGCAGCGGAAGATCCTGTGGCCACACTAACACCCAGGTAATTAGGCCCTGAATTATAAAAAGTTTTCCTTCTAGTTCTCGGAATGCAACATGAATTCTTTAGCTTAGAGACTTGAGATGAATGTGTCCAGAGGCTAGGTCTCTGGACTGAAGTGATATGAAACTAAGAAGCCATGATACTTTACAACTGGTAATGGAGGGGCCCAAGTGCATGGTCACAGGGTTATATATAGAGAATAGAATGTTCCAATAATAGAACTTTCAGCGAGAGTTCCCATTCTTAACACCCAGTTCTAATCCCTTCCTCTTCTGTCATTTTTTTTTCTTTATTTTACTTTTTTCCTGGCTTTGAATTCCTACAAGTTGGCACTAAATCATTCTATTTTGATGATTTATCTAAGAAACTGTGGCAGAACGAAGCAAAAACTCAGGTGAGAGAAGGAAGTTTGTAGAATGG